GTCAGGATTCGCGCATGCGCATGGGAGATATTAAGATTTAAGTGTTTTTTGGACAAAAACGTAACTTTTGAAACATCGCTTCCTTTTTACTTTACAAAGAAAATAGTTAGTCAAATGGAAAAAAAATTATTGTAAAAGTTCTAGCCACAATTGGTTTACTATATTCAGTTTGACTTTTTTTAAAAGTTGCCGTTTTTCAGGATTTATAGACTGTTTATTGAAAAAAAAGCCTTCGGGGTAAGTTGACAAAATTTTTACGGGGTAAGTTGGCTCATAGCATTTACTATGGAGAAAAATATTTATTTTTATAAAAATAATTTTTTTAATTTTTTTAATTTTTAACAATATTGAAAAAACTTATTCTTACAAAAAAATTATAAAAATTTTTTTTTTAGGTTTTTTGTAACAGGTAAAAAGAGGGCTGCTGTTTTGGCTGTTATACGTACTAATATTTAGCACAAGCTAAAAATAATATCAAATTATTAGCTTAAATTGTTGCCAAAATTAATAGGTAAAAAATTTCTATTAATTTTGCACTTAATAGTACATTAATAATCACGTTTATAGTTTGCGTCAACTTACCCCGTGGTGGGGTAAGTTGGCGCAATTTTTTTTTTTTTTTTGAGGGCCCCGTAAGGCCCCAAGAATTTTTTTTTGTAAATCCATGAAACTTTTTTAAGTTACCCAAGTTCATACGCTTTGAGACTACACTTTAATATTTTCAAAAAAGTGTGCTATTAGGGCTACAGAGCTCATAGAGTAAAAACCGAGCCAACTAGCCCCGGTCTCCCCTATAACCAGAAGTAGCCTCCTCATCTGTAGTGGCCTTATCGGCCTTTGGAAGGTAAGTTACAAAAAAAAATTAAAAATATCTGTTTGTCACTCTTTTTTTGTCACTTTTTCCTAAACGAAACGCAATTTTTTTATTGATGTTTATATATATATATATATATATATATATATATATATATATATATATATATATATATATATATATATATATATATATATATATATATATATATGTATATATATATATATATATATATATATAATATATATATATATATATATATATATATATATACACAAAAACATCTATAAAAAATTATAAAATAAAAATTTAATTATATAATGATTAATATTTTTAAAGTTTTTATATAATTTTGGTTCGTTTAAGACCCAACATGACATACTTTTAAAAAACATTTTTTTGAATAATATTAGGGGCTTTTTAATGTTCTAGGGTCGGTTGCAACCCCTTAAAGTATTTTTTATTCAAAAAATTTTTAAATCTAGCATTTTTGTATTATTCACAACATATATATATATATATATACTATATATATATATATATATATATATATATATATATATATATATATATATATATATATATATATATATATATATATATATATATATATATATATATATATATATATATATATATATAGTTCTAAAATTCATCTGCTTATTTTTTGTAAATGACAGCTGGCACCCCCTGAATATGTTGTGAATAATACAAAAATGCTAGATTTAAAAATTTTTAGAACCATATATATATATATATATATATATATATATATATATATATATATATATATATATATATATATATATATATATATATATATATATATATATATATATATATATATATATATATATATATATATATATATATATATATATATATATATATATATATATATATATATATATATATATATATATATATGGTTCTAAAAATCATCTGCAAAATGAAATAAAATTTTTCAAAATAAGTTCCAGAAAAATACTATCGAATTGAACTATCATTTCTTAAAATATACTTATTTCTATCTTTGTGCAATTTTAAGCTACAAAAAGAAACAAGCAAAGTTTGTTTTACATTTATAAATTAAAAAAATATATATTAAAAATATTTATTTTGTATATAATGAGAGCAATTTTTAAAAATAAAAGAGACTTGGCATGAGTGAAGAGGTACGTAAAAATTATAAGAAGTGCTACATTCTTCTGCGGCCGATAGAGAGATTCACGTTTACTTGCCCCAGACAATGTTTGCATAACTAATATTACAATTAATTAACAAGTAAAATTTTTGAGTCAAAGTACATTTGTCTAGAACACTTTTTGTTTTGTAAAAGTATACTTATTAATTCGATTTTAATTTTATTATAACTAATGTTTGTTAAACTTTACCAACAACCAACATAAAACTAGACAGCAAACAATTAAAAAAAATTTAAACTAGCACTCAAGTTTTTATATAAAACACTTTACTTTATCAAGCTTTAATAAATTTTACTTTATCAAGTGATAAAGATAAATAATGTTATTTATTTTACGTTATAAATGACGTTATTTATTTTACGTTAAAAATAATGTTATTTATTTTACGTTTTAAATAATGTTATTTATTCAATGTTTAAAAAAAACTTACAAGTTATGCGCCAGGCCTCTCTCTAATGAAAATACAGTCTTTAGCTTTGAAATTACAGTTAAAATGTTATAGTAATGATAATTTGTATTTAAAATTATTTATATTTATTGAATTCACCGCGTTTTGGGTTAAAGCGTACTACGGTTTGACAACACAGTTGGTGAAAAAATTGTTTCGAAAAAGTTGTTCTTTGAGTTTTTTGGTGAGTCAAAAACCTTTTTTTTTTGAAAACGTTGACTTTGGTTAATACTGAGGAACCGTGAAGTTAAATATTTTGCTGTTGAATTTGTGTTATTAAATAAGATCTCTTCTTGCTTGTCGTTTGGTTTAGTCTTGATAGTCGCTGAATGTAGGGAAAGTATTTTATGATAGAAATGTGTTTCGTGGCCTGGTGTTGAACTTGCTTGAGCTTGAGACGGTGACCATACGGCTTGTACTAGGGAATTCTAAGATATAGTTTGCAAGGGTCAGTATAGTGTTAACGACTCGCTCAAAAACATTTTCCCAAAAAAATGGACTGTTCTATCATTTAAACGTGAATGCATTATCATGATTCATGTTTAAACGGTTTCCAGATTCAATAAGGAAAAAAATATTCAGCAACTTGATTTTCTTGAATTGGTGGGTCTAGAGTTTGTAAAAGAAACATTGGTCGAGTTGTTTTCATTTTTCTATAAAAAGTTTGCTTTTTCCCGTTTTGCAACCCTTGATGGGTTGCAAAATACAACTACGGCGTATGAAATTTAAATTTTAGTATTTGCCTATATTTTACCATGAAGCATTATTCTGACTAAATAAATATATTTAAACCTTCATTTTCCAATAATTTTTTTTCAACAAATTAAAAAACAATATTAAAGAATAATAAAACAAAAAACAATTTGCTTACATTTAAAAGTTTGATGTTTAACATTTTTATACACTAAATAATATTTAATAAATGATTTTTAGTTTAATAAATAATACACTGAATAATATTTGATAAACAGCGGTGGCCTAACTAGCGAGGAGTACACTGCTGCATAGTGGACTGGGAGGATATATAGAGCTAATGGAGTTCCGGACCTTTTATTTCCAATATTGCCAATTTTTTAAAAAAAGAACTTTCATAAAATTCTTGCGGGTCGGGGCAGAGTTTGTAGTTAGCCACTCATAAATAATCAATGAATAAAAAAGCAATTAAATTGCAAGGAAAACTAATTTTTCATTATTTCGATTTGTTTTGTGCTTTTAACTTCTCGGTAAGTGTTTTGTCAGGTCAAATAAAAATTTTCCATAAAAGAAGCCTATTTGTTGCTTGTTGCCCATTTGTCCACCTTGTAAATATAATTATTACGCGACTGTGTACATCTCATACAATATATATTTTTCTGCCTCACTCACAATTAATTTTGTTTATTTCGTATCCAGTATTCTATATATCTATCGTCATTTAATGAAAATAATTAAAAGACAATAGATAACCGTCTTTTTAGTTAAAATAATTAAAAGACGATAGACAAAATCATTTATCTTCACCTGAAAGTGAACGATAACAACTAAAAAAAACCATTTTTTTATTTTGATAATTTAAATTTTAACCGTTAAAACGTGTTTATCGGAATCAAAAATTCATACTTCATATCTGGTATTATTATACGCTCTCCTGAAAGTAAATAAAAAAAACCCGGCATTTCAAATAGTAGTAATAAAAGATTTTGCCTCATAAGCATATTTTACTAAAAGGTTGTAACTAATATCTAGCGTCATTATTTAATCAAATGGTGAGGTGGTTTATTTTCCTCTGGCTAATTACCAAACAGACACGACATACTAAAATCAACTCACGACATGTTCAACTTTAACTAGGATTTCATAATCCATTAAGAATTTAGTCTTATTGGCTAGCTAGTTTGACCATCTTAACTGAAAAGTTTTATTAAGGCAATAGAATATATATATATATATATATATATATATATATATATATATATATATATATATTCTATTATACTGGTATATATTCTATTATACTGGTATATTCTATTATATATATTTTATATACACTGAAAAGTTTTATTAAGGCAATAGAATATATATATATATATATATATATATATATATATATATATATATATATATATATATATATATATATATATATATATATATATATATATATATCCTATTGCCTGGGATGTTATAGTACCATTTTTTAGTTAGACAATCCCAAGTAATATGTCGTCGCAATCTGGAGCATCTGGAGTAAAATATTTTCTTGAAAATAATTAAGTAATTAGTTTATGTTTGTCTATTTTCTATTACTACCGCTCTGTCTTATACCGTCTTTCTTATATTACTTTTATGTAAACTTTATTCCGAGAATTCTTGTCCTCTCGACGTTTCTTTCTCCTTGTTTATGTTTACTAAGGTAGAACGGACGTTTTAGGTACACTTCTAAAACTTATAACCCGAAAGCGCCATCTCGTTTTAACCCGAAAGTTTTAAAAGTATTACGCAGTGGGATCTAAAATTTCAGGCGGAATTAATAATTTACTATAAGAAACCATCGGAATTTTTATATATGCGGACGTGAAAGACATCGGAACAGGAACAGGAGTTTGTCAAGAGTTGACTAACGAAGATAGCAGAAAATCCACGCGTGCGATGATAAAATTTAAGAGCTGTGATTTTTTGTTTTAGTTGATTTGATGTGTCTTACTTCTTTAAGAAAGCTTAACGATGTAGTATATTCTATCAATACGTGTATGTATGATGACTACTAATATCGAAGGTTTAAAAATAAATACCGATAATAGCAACCTAATGAACCAGGTTTTCTTGGTAAAATACAAAACACCCTTAAAATATGTAGGGTTAATATTATTGATTTTTCAAAGTGCGATTCATGTTATGGTCATTCGTTTTTCTCGAGTTGGTACAGGAGGCAAGTATTTTGCGAGCACTATAGTGTTTTTGGCTGAGGTAAGAATGACACCAAAATGGTAAGGTAATGATGATTTTTAAATAATTTATAAAAATAAATTCGTGTTTATGCCACTTTAATTTTAAGAAATCGTTTATTTTTGATTTTGAAATCAGTAATGTTAATTTCAGTCTTTTAATGTTGGTTTAATGGTATTGTAAGCCATATTACTAGTTATATTTTGCACAATTTAATTTTTTAATTTACACTTTAATCCATTCTATTTAATCCATATTATCTACTACTTTGGATTTTGATCAACATAGTACTAATTTGTTTTGCTCAATTTGATTTTTAAATTGCCAATTTAAACCAACACACTTTCTGACAAAATGTAAAGTAGAATATAAAGTGTTTAAATTTAAATTTAACTATATGAATGCAAATAGTAAATGAACTGAAATAATGCAAATGGTCAAGATTACAGTATATCTCATACAAACTACTGTGTGGTGTTGAAGTTCCACAATGCATTGTGCTGGGACTTTACTCTTCGTATATTATCTATATGAATGAGATTTAAACATTGTTTACAAACGGAGTTTGTAAACATCAATCTCTTAGCAGACAACAGCGTACATAGATCAATAAGATAGCAATAATAATAATAATATATATGTATATATATATATATATATATATATATATATATATATACATATATATATATATATATATATATATATATATATATATATATATATATATATATATATATATATATATATATATATATATATATATATATATATATATTTATATATATATATATATATATATATATATATATATATATATATATATATATATATATATATATATATATATATATATATAAATATAGAGAGAGAGGCTAGGCCAGGAAAGCGTGCGATTTCAAGCCTTTATATGACCACGCAAATAATATTTTGTTTTGATGATTTAACCACGGTTTTTAACAAATGCGCTGAAAAAAATTGGTTTTTAATTAAGTTAAAAATAATAAATAACTTCAATATGTTAATCTTAACTAACATTTCTGTATTAGCAAAACGCTTTTAAATACATTTTAAATAGCTTATGATTTTGATTAAAGTATTTTTGAAAATTGTATTAATTTTTATTTATATTATTTAATTATAAGATTTTTTTATAAGTAAATTGCAAAAAGTGAAAATTATTAAAAAAAAAAAAATTAATTTTATAAGCTTTTAACGACTTTAAACACAATCTCTTTAAAAAACTTTATATAAGAATCATTAAAGTTAATTAACTCGAAAAATAGAAAGATTTTGTTTAGAAGAAAATTAAAGATAAACTTTTTAAAGCTGTTTGAATTAAATAACTTTGATCTATACTTATGTTTTTATATTATTGAAACGCATTTAAATAAAGTAACAAATCACTGCTAATAATTTTTTACAAAAATATTAATGAATAATAATATATATTTTTTATATTTATTTAAGTATGTATTTTTTTAATTATAAATCTCTTTAAATAAAAAAAAAAATATCAACTTTTAAAATGAACGATTTAAATATTTTTTCTTTTGTTTACATTACTGTGAAGCGTTGCTAAAAATCTCTTTTTTTTTAACTTTTAAATAGGGGCATTTGTTAAACAATTATTGTAAATTGTTAGATGTAAGTTGTTACGGTTCAAAGTTATTTATTCTAAACATAATTTAGATAATCTTATTGTTATAGTTTTTTATTTATGTTAGTTGAGTTTTAGTTTATTTTTTTTAATTTAGTTTTAGTTAAGTTATTTTCATTATATTTTTTGTTATTTTTACGAAGATTTATTTGCTTATTCTACAATAAGTTTTTTTTAAGCTTCTATATAGTTAAGATAATTTTTTTAGTGTGTTTTTAAAATTTATAAAACTTTCAAAACATATTAACAGCTGTGGTCAAGTTTTTAAAATCACAGAGTATTTTTGTGGTCATAATATGACACGAAATCGCATGCCTTCTTGGCTGAGCTTTTATATATATATAATTGCTGGTACTGCTATATACTATATAGCTCTAGTTTATCTATTGATCACTCTTTTAATTATACAATAATATACATGATAATGTAAAGATATTTTCTTTATTTATATATATACACTTACGTATTACACTCCTAATAGTTGTTAGTTGAGAACTCTATATTTGTATATTCCATAATGGGTAACATCCAGTTTTATTATTCTCTTAAAAACATATCCACAATGGAAAAACAAATTATAATTTCAAATTAGTAGAAAAAATAGAAAGTTTTATAAAAAGAGTTTGTTGGAAAACTTATTTCTTTTTAAAAAACGAATAAAACAATGTAGCAAACGATAATTAGGGTTTTAAATCAAAACTAACACCCCCTCAATGGTCAGAGCTTAACGACTTTGAAAACGACCTTTAAATGCAAACGATCAATTTCAAACAAAAATAAAAAAAGATGTTTTTAAAATTGTAACCAGCAAAGAAGTTTATGTTATATTTGCTGATAAAACCAGTAACCTATATAAAATGTCTGCTATCACAATAAACTGATGAATGAAAATGTTAAAAAACCTATAAAAAGCACCCGATAATTTGGAACAATCAGTCAACTTAAAAGCCAACCAAATAGTCTTAAAATTAAATTTGAGTAACCGAATAGAACATTTTGCAAAATCTCCAGCATTTATTACATTGAAAGATCATAAATAAAATTTCAAATCAAAACCTGCCTGCCGTCTCATTAACCCCACAAAATCAAAATCGGATTAATAAGCAAAAAAATCTTAGACATTACTAACACATTTTTAAGAAAAAGCCTACAGTAAAAGCCTACAAGAAAAAGCCTAAGTAAACAAATTTGAAAAATGCCACTGAAATTATAAATTGGTTTAATGCCATCACAAACAAAAATAGTTATAAAAGCAAATCTTAAATCAGTTAACTTCCTTGATGTCACCTTTAATTTAGCCCAAAACACCCATAAGCCTTTCAAAAAAAAACCAACAATAATCTTCAATACATTCACATATCTTCTAATCACCTACTACAAATTATCAAACACTTAACTACTTCAATATGCAATAAACTTTCACAAATTCTTCAAACAAAATTATTTTAACCAGCCTAAAAATGAATGTGAACAAGCACTAAAACATAGTGGGTACAAAAACTACTCCCTTATAATATCAGATCAAAGAACATCCCAAAAAAATGATAAACACAATTGTATGGTTCAACCCCGAATTTAACATAAACATCAACAACAACAACAAAAAAATTATCTTTCCAAGAACTGAAAATAATGACCCAAAATGTAATTGTCGAAATGAAACAAATGCCCCCTGAATGGTAAGTGCAAGTCCACAAACATCATATACAAATGCATCATAGTAGCTAAAAACCAACCCTACAAAGTTTATATTGGATTAACAGAAGGTAAATGGAAAACTAGATAGAACAATCACAAATCATCATTCAGTAATGTTAAATAAAAAATGTCCACCATTCTATCAAACTACTTCTGGGATTTGAAAACAATTTTGAATTCTGTACCCCCTTGCTCAAGTATTTCCAAAAGGTGCCCACTGTGTTTGTATGAGAAATTTACTATTATATCGTATGCAAAATCTGAGGAACTGCTAAATAAAAGAACAGAAGTGATATCAAAGTGCTGCCATGAAAACAAATTTTTATTAAAAAGATTACAAAGCTCGATACAAACTTAACTAACAATAACTATATTTCTCTACTTCATATATCTCTAGGCTAACTAATAAATTACACACACACACACGCACACACACACACACACACACACACACACACATCTATTGTAATATATTTCATAATAATATTTATATTTTTATCTAAAATTTTTAATTTTACATTTTTTTAATATATAAATAATGCGCATTATCACTAAAAACGAATTAATAATAACATTAACCTAACTACTAAACAATTTCCATTCTGTAACAATCTAAAATATAAATATAAACCATAATGTCCACTAAACATATAACAAAATTAAATTTTTACTACTTGCCTGAAGATTTTGGTAACACGTGAAATTCAGAGTTGCAATTTAAATTAATTTATATTATATTACAAACATTGTAAATAATATTAGTTTAGGTACTGCAGGTAACAGTAACATTTATATTATATGTGTGTATATATATATATATATATATATATATATATATATATATATATATATATATATATATATATATATATATATATATATATATATATATATATATATATATATAATTATTTATATTTATTTATTTTAATTGTTTTTACAATTTTTTTAAATCAATTAAGAATTTCATTCTTCAAAACATTTTTAAACTATAACTTATCAATTTCTGAGTAAATGTAAATATCAAATGATAACAGTATAATAAGTAGAGTTTTTCTTTTTTTTCTTTTAGGTTTTAAAGCTATTTTTTTGCTTGACAGTTGCACTGTTTAAAATTAGAAATTTTAATTCTTTGATTATATGTTTGCGTACTCACGTATTCAATAGATTCAGCTACACCTCTAAATTATGCGTTTCAGCTATTTTGTTTGTTATTCAGAACAACCTTCATTATTTGTCATTGTCTGATTTGGACTCTAATACTTTCCAAGTAATTTATCAAATAAAAATTTTGGTTACTGCTTATTTCTCTGTAATTTTACTCAAAAGAAAAATTAAGAAAGTGCAATGGGCAGCTCTAGTTCTCTTGTGTTTTGGGGTGTTATTAAATTTGCAACCTAGTCAGTTTTTCTCTTTATACAGTAGACTTCATGATCAGTCACCTGTGGTAGGACTTCTCTCAATACTATTGTCAAGTGTTACCTCAGGTTTTGCCTGTGTTTATTTTGAGAAGATACTTAAAGAGTCAAAAAATTCAATTTGGTTGTTGAATATTCAACTTAGCTTTATTGAGACAATAGTTTCTTTAGTAACAATGATACTTATTGATGGCATAAACATTAACAATCATGGAATGTGTTTTGGCTATTCAAAGTTTGTTTGGTTAGCTATTCTTCTTCAAGCTACCGGTAGCATTTTAGTTGCCGTAGTAATGACTTTTTCTGACAGTGTTCTAAAATGCTTTTGTGTGGCATTTTCTATTATTTTTTCTAGTATTAGTAGTATTTATGTATTTAATTTAGTTTTGAGTGTTCAATATCTACTAGGAACAATTGTAATACTTTTTGCGTCATATTTATATTTATCACAAGAAATATAATATTGCTTTGCATATTGTTCTGCTAAATATTTACTTAGAAAAAATAAAGATGTTGTTATTAAGCTCTTTTGTTTTTTAAAAAATATTCAAATAAAACATGTTTGTTGCAAAGAGGGTTTTAATTTAACATAATTTAACTTATAAAATAATATAATTGTTTAAATATTTTTATTTAATAATTTTCGATATTTTTATTTACACTGTTGCTCGCGTAATGGTATTGTTGCTTTAATTTTTTTCTTTAAGTCACGGTAGTGATTTCTGATTAATTGATTTTTTTCCCTTTATTTAAAGAATGCTTGCCCAAACCAAAACACTTAATTGATGTATGTACACTCACTGCGTCTATCCCTATATTAGTCGATCTTTGTAAATAATAAACATAAATGTAACTTTTAATATACAACAATAATAATAAAGCAACTGTACCATTGCGCTAGACACAACGTTTTGTTTAATAGTTTTCAATATTTTTATTTAATAATTTTTTATATTTTTATTTAATAGTTTTCAATATTTTATAAATAAATATGCTGCTTAGTGGTCGTCCATAAATTATGTCATGTTCTAGAGGGGGGGGGAGAGAAGTTTAGTGATGACTCATACAGGACTTGTTACTAAAATGTTACGATGTTGTGATGAAGGGGTTTAGTGGTTTTGTGATAGTGTTATGGACGACCCCTTAAGTAATCAGAAGAAAATTTTGATTGAATGAATTATTAAAAAAAGTATCATTTAAAAAAAAAACTAGCATCTTTTAAATATATTAATATGTATGTATGTTATAAAGTTAAAGTTATAATTTAATTTCTCAATATGTTTAGTATTTTCTAAACTCTAAAAGTATCAGATTTTAAATCTTTTTTCTTTAAAAAGAAGTTTTTTTTCAGTTAAAATAGAAATACAAAAAAATCACTAACTTTTTACACATACGCTAACCCAGGTATACTTTTAAGGTAAAAAAATTACAACTTTTTATTTATTTTAGTAAGATTGCATTCACTATTAGTAGTTTTATTATTTTTTCAGTTTAGATTTTTAAATAACTATGTCAATGGATTTTGGATCTTCGATTGGTAGTTCTTCATTAGGAAGTGGATTTGGTGTTAGCAGCAGTAACAAATCAAGCAACAACAGTGCAATAATGGAAAACTTAAGACAACAAATAGCTGTTGCCAATGCTCAAGAATTAATTTCAGTAAATATTTTGTATTCAATCTATATATTTTAGTTATCTCTATGAATCCTAACCAGTACTAAGTAATTTTTCATGGCTAAGTAGTTGTTGGATATTAAGTTCTTTTTTAATTTTTTGAGTTACACAGTGTGTTAGGCAATGATGGCACCACATATCGAAATTCCCAATTGGAATAAAATTCCCAAAGATTAAAAAAAAATCATAGTAAAAAAATAATAAAAAGATTTAAAATGTTATGCTAGACACTAGGAAATGTTATTAGTACGCATGACAAAGTAATGAATAAAGTTGATTGAGAACAATTTTTTTCTTATTAATCAAAATTGTATTCTTATTATTCAAAATCTCTTTATTTACATTGTTACAGCTGTTTATTTTAAGTTGTGAAAGTTACAAAAATAATAATAAAAGATATACATTTATTTAATAATTTAAAATACTGTTGGTAAACTAAATTTGCTGGTAAACCATACTGAAAATAACAACAGCAATATCAAAAATGAAACTTGCAATGAAAAGGCTCATATTCTCTCGATTCCTTATTACAAGGTGTGGGGTGGGAATTTTAGTCCAATTCTAATAAATTGGGGCATTGGGGGGAAATTAGGGAGTTGGGGGATGACTGAATACTCTCTCCCTCCCAATAAAGTAAATCTAAAAAAAAGTTTAAATCCAACTATATTTATCTCAATCAGTTAGTGAAACTTCCGATCTGACACCATCTTGCAATATAAGTATTTTTATAAAATATTTTAATTTATAAATCCAAACTAATATTATTTACAAAACACACATAAAACTATTTAATTCTAGAGTGGCTTGCAATCAAATTCAAAATTTTTAACAGCTGTTTCATCATAATCTCAATAGAATTTGATATGCTAGTATAAGTTTTATACTTATACTAGCATATCAAATTGGTATAAAATAAACCAAAATCTCATTTTCGACAAATCAAGATTTATTTTTAAAGCCTGGTCTTTTTTTTTTTTTTTTTTGAGTGACTAAAAAATGATTATTTCATATTTTTAAAGCCGATTTTCACTCAAGTTTTTTTTTTTAGTTTTGAGATATTAATTTTTTGTTGATAACAAGTAAAAATTAATAAAGAAAAGAGGAGGTCTTAATAAGCTTAGAGCGGGTGGGAAAGTTTTCTAAAAAATATTAAACCCCCCACCCCCACCCTTCTTGCTTGTATTAAGGACTCAAGAGTATGTTATAATTGCATAAAACATAAAATAAGGTAATTATATTTACATTAATTGTTATAGTTTTTTTTTAATTTTATTTACAAATGCAAAAGTTTAATTTACCAACATATAATTTACTGGATATTTAAATTGCCTCCTAAATTTACTTACTACCCTTATGTGGTGAACAAATTTCTTTTAAATATTGTTGCTTATTTAGATTAATTCTAAAATAGCATATTGAGAAAAAAGTTTTTTTAACAGCAAGTTTTTCATCTGAATAAGGTATCAAGCTACTGATGGAATTAAGTTTTGTTACTTATTGCTGACTACTTTTTAAAGTCTTAGATATCATATTTAATGCAATTTTAAATCACAAAATTTATTTAAAGTTTACACAAAAGTTTATTTAATGATAAAAATTATAATATAAAATTATATGAACAAAAATACAAACATTAATGTAAAAAAAATATTAAGTATTTTAAATCTTTTAGTTTTATAACACTCAAGTAAAAACTTTCCATAGTGTTTTTATCGACAGTCCTCAATTAAAAAGTTGTTTCAGTTTTTTAAAAAGTTACAAGAGAAATTGTGGAAATCATCAAAAAAGTTGTCATAAAAATTTTATATTATTAGGTTGTTGTTTTTTTCATAAAATAATAATAATATAAAAAAAAAGTATATGTAGATAGTTGTTAAAATTTTGTAGAACTATATTTAAAAGCTATGTAGGCAATAAAATAGATCATACTATCAAACTCATTCAAAGTTTAATTGCAAATATTTGTCTTTTGTTTTTGTTTTCTCTCTATCTTTTAATATATTTTTGTTTTTTCTATAAATACAAAAAAGCTTAAGAAGATTGTTCAGAATTTAAAGATTTAAATTTAGCGTTTATAATTTAAAAAAATACTTTTTATTCCTGCTTTGAAGCCACCTAAAAAAAAATAATAATATAAACATATTTATGTATCTGAAAAAATTTCCAATTTTTTTAATATTGTCCCTTAATTTGCTTGTATAAATTAAATTAAGGGGTTGTCGACACGAGCCATGGCCTTTCTTTAAATGTCGCTGTGATGTTTTTAGTTAAGTGTATACTATTTTGATTATGCTAAAAACTTTTTTAGAACATAAGTGAAAGGACGTATCAACTGCTTTGTAAAAAAAAAATTGTTGAAAATTGTACTTGCAAACCTAAATAAACTTTCTCTGGCAAGGGCTATTCTAGACCATTTTGTGGACTTATATAGTAAAAGATTTTTAGAAGTAGAGAATAGAATCAGGAGTAAGAAAATAATGAAGACAATTAAAATAAAGGTCTGTTGTTTTGTATGCTTACGTTAATGATTCTATTAATCATTTTTGTCAAAAGTCTTTTTCATCTTTCTATTAGTCTATGTCAACAAATTTTCTCTTACTTGAAAATTTTGTTTAAATCTAAGTATAAAACTTATATTAGAATATTAAATCCTATTGAGATTATGATAAAACAGCTGTTAAAAAATTCGACCTAGAATTAATTTTATGCATGTTTTGTAAATAATTTGGCTTTTTAAATTAAAATTTTTATAAAAATACTTAACATGGTGTCAGATCGGAATACATAACATGGTGTCAGATCGGAAGTTTTCACGAGCTGACCGAGATATATATAGTTTAGAAAAAGAAATCCCCCGCCCCCTCCCCCGCTTATTCTTAAATGGAATATATAGATGTTTCCTACTCTTGAGTTTTTTTTGTTGCTTTTGCCAATTTTATTGAATGAAATGTCTGCTCCAAATGACCATTATACCTGATTAAAGAAACATTAAATTCTGATCGCAAACTGTCTGTGGTCTGAATTTTAATATTGTTTTTGTTATTTTTTACCATTTTTATTAGTTAACTGACAATTATTATTTGCTGTTTAAAACTTAACAAATTAATTAATTTGTTCCTATATACTCTAAATATTGGAGCAATTAATTATATGGGCGAAGGGCGGATCAACTTTTAAAGGGGGAAAACGATGATCATTTTAAGAATAAGAAAGACTTAATTATGAAAGAAAATTAATTAAGAAATTAATGCTTATAATTGTATAAATTTAATTATTTAAAATTTATATATTTAAAATAGATATATATTTTTTATTAGTATTAATTTATTTTTAGAAAATGTCAGACAAATGCTTTCAAAAGTGCGTTAGTAAACCAGGGGTTAGTCTCGATAACTCAGAACAAGTTAGTTGTCTCATTAACATTTGGTTTCAAGATTGATTAAATGTCTTGTAGCAACGCTACATGATTATACATGAGTATTACATGATTATGACATGATTATACATGAGTATTACATGATTATGATTACATGAGTATGACAACGCTACATGAGTAGTACATGATTAATATTTTAATACCAAATAATTTAAAGTATGCTTTTTTAAATTAATATAATTGTCTTTTTTAGAAATGTGTTGCCATGTGCATGGATAGGTATATGGACGCTTGGAATCTTGTATCGCAAACGTACACGTCTCGTTTAAGTCAAGAACATGGACAACTAGCTAGCAGTGGCATGTAGGACTTTTCTATAGTTTGCTAACGAGTTAGAGAACGTTTAACTATTAACATCGATTTTTAAATGACTATTAAAAATGCCAAGAAACTAAACTTGTTAAATTGACATTTTAAATAAGTTATTACCAATACACTTTCTTAATATTTTTACATGTGCTAATACTTAAAAAAAGCAACAACAACTTGCATAATTAATATCTAAGTTTATGGCAGATGTTTATTAACTGAAATCAATCATTTGGCTACAGCTCTGTTTTTGTTTGTCATTTATATCTTTCCTTTTTTTTTTCAAAAATAAACTTTTTGAGGGCTAGGCTTCATGCAAATATTTGTTGTTCTTTTTTAAAGTAACGTTCAGGAATGGCATGAATAATAAACATTTCTATGATCATAGCAAATATTTTTGAATTAATTACTTAAAATATACCAGTCGTTTTAACATGAAATTCGGAACATATATTAACAAAATTCATTCGAGATAAAATAAAAAATATTTTAGAAATATTGCGATAAACAGCTAACACAAATAATTAAGCGTTGAAATAAAGCTCTCAAATAAATTTTATTACTATGAAGAACAAACTGTAAATTTCATCTCATTTGCATAATTATTTCAAACTTTTTGCTATTTTGAAAATGTTTTTATTTATATATCGGTTGCTATGACTCTGTTATGTATAAAAGAATTGAATTCGTTGACACGAAATAAAATTTTTTTAATTAAAAGTTTTAATATTCTGTGAACAAAAGAATAAGCTAATTTTTTTTTCTTTTTTTCCAATCGAAATTGACTTTTACTTCTTAGGGTTCTCACGGTATGTAGAGGTTTAAATTTATCTCAACAACATTTTAGGTTTATGGAACCCCGTTTTTTTTTAAGGCTTTTTCTGTAAATTTAGAAAATACCGTCTAGTAAATTATGGTACATCGTCTAACAGAGGATGTTAGAGGAGACCAATTTAGTATTGTTTTAATTTACTATGGTAGAAGGCAATAAATTTTCAATAAACTCATCCAGTTTAGTTCTTTTTCTGCTTGTCTAGTTTTAAACTGTGAACCTAAGGACTTTATCCAGTATGTCATTTTTAATCCTTTCCCCCTTAAAGATTAATTGAGCCTATGCCCCCATAGAGCCTAAGCCTATGCCCCTCTATAAGATTAATTGAGCCTATGCAAAAGCTGTTTATGATTGAGATAATAAACGAGTTAATCAAAAATATGTAAATTAAGAAATCGTTTTTAAGACTAAAAAATCTTTAAACGTCTCATAGGTCTCATCTTTATTATAAACTTAAATAAAAAGTATTTAAGGTAGTAGTCTACCTTGGAAACTAAACCCTAGAATTCTTTATAAAAAAAACTCAGTATTTTGCAACAATATAAACAAACCTTATAAAACTATGAAATTATATATTTATTTAATTTTTCAAATTTGTTTTTAAAACACTGTTTTTGGTCTGCGGGACCAAAAAAAGGGTATATACGCTGCAATAATTAACTCAAGAATGTTTTTTTTTTTTTTTTAATTTTTATTTTTCGTCATTTGACACATTTTACAATGTTAACCTTACATTCAAATAAATTTATACATATGCAAGCTGACTGGGGCAAGTAGAAGACAAAATGTCTTATCATCAAGCCCCTTCGTGAAAATAAAAAAAACTAAAAAAAAAAAAAAAACTTTACAATTTCGGGAAACAGACAAATAACCGAAAAACAAAATCCGATTTATAGCCGAATGAACAAATTCCGTATTATAGTCGAAAAAAAATAAGATTTTGGCACGTTCTACAAACAGTCGACGAAAAACACGATTTTGACGTAGTCTGTGATATAGTCGAATGATATATTTTGTTTTTAAACGAACTATGACGAGGTTTGACAACTACCCGAATTAATAATTTTGTCAAATACAGTCAAATAATCGAAATAAAACCTGTTCCGATAACCAGTCGAATTTGTGTATTGTCATAAATCATTTCTAACCGAATTTATTTGGACAAATATTTATAAATCGTCGAAAAATGAAATTCGACTATTTTTCATGACGTGTTCTGATAAATAATCGAACTGTTTTATTTTGACCAAGTCTGTTAACCAGTCGAAATTAATATTCGGCTATTCTCTGTGGCTGCCACATAAACCAGTCGACGGCTTTAAAAATTTGGCAGCGTCATCAAAATAGCCGAATTTAATTAAACCTCTCCAAACCATCGTATTTCGACTATAACTTGTACGTATTTTGAGTCGAAATTATACTTCAGTTCTAGTAAAACTACTCCGGATTGTGAGAATATTCACGATCCTAAACCTTTGTAAAAAAATAAGAAGTGATTGGCAGTTAAAACAAATGTTTGTATTTCAAAAAAAACCTCAACATGATGAGGAAAAAAAATTGATTATTACAAGGGTCTCATTCTCATACGTATATAAAAAAAACCTCATTTCGAAATGAGGAAAAAAAGTTCACGGGTCTCATACTTTCTCATACTTCACAAAGGTCTCATACGTATACAAAAAAACCCTCAGAAATGAGGAAAAAAAATTCCAAGGGTCTCATTCACTTCATTCACACATGCATGCATCTTCTATCTGTTGTTTTATCCGTTCCAGAACGAATATCCTCCATCCTGATTATCGAAACCAGACACGAACAAACGATCGGGCACCTCAAATTGTCGGCACGATTTAGACCTGAAATATTTAGGAAAAGTTGTTTAATTGTTATGTAACTAACTAAAGATGCAAACGTTTAAACGCAATATTACTTTTTTTAAATGTTCAATTACTGTAATACTGTAATATTGACTACTAATGTAATTGGAAAATAGAACGTTGTGCGTTACCTCAACCAATTAAAGTCTGGATGAGAGGAGAGACGTTTCCGGGTCCAATCGAGCGGGTCCAATCGAACGGGTCCAATCAAACGCGTTGAATGATGATCTGAAACCGAATTTTAAAAGTATTAAGTTTTAGAATATTGATTCAGAGATACACGGGACCCATGTAAACAGTGTCTATTCACAAAATGTCTTCAGTATTAATAACTGGTAGTATTTACCTCTTATTTTTTTTGATTTTTCATTAGAAGAAGGAGGTAGAAGTGAGCCACAGTGAAGTGAAGATCCGGATTAGCCTGCAACAAAATAATGTAAAATTCTACCAATCCGATTGATGATTAGCATTATAACACGAACAAAGAATCAAAGAAAAACCATCAAGTAATACTAAATTGCAACTAATAAGTATGATGATTATAATTAAACCAATAAGTTTGATGAATAACATTATAAGATCGTGAATATTATCTCAATCTTTGAAAATTTCTATCAAATTATGTTAAAAATTACCGGTTAAAAGGTTGTAGAGCGTGCGTACTGCGGCTTTACGTAGTTATTCTACGTTTTAATTAACATCTTACAATCTTTTTTGGGTTTTTTGTATTTTTAAATTGTTTTTGGATTTTGTATTTTAAATTGTTTTTGGATTTTGTATTTTTAAATTTTTTTGGTTTTTGTGTTTTTTGAATTGAATGGAAAGAAATAAACAAAGGGAAAATGATTGAAAAAGAAGCGAATGAAAAGAAGAAATGAAATAAATTTAATTGAAAATAGAATTTGCGGGGGCGAAATCTGCGGCATTAAGTAAATCTGCGGCAAGTAAATCTGCGGCAAGATGTTCCCTAAGCGGGCTGGTGTACTTGGGACGGGCCCTACTACCGTCATAAACAAGTTTAATCAGGTTATAGGCGTCCACAAGACACCTGCCCACAGAATTTGCCAAAAGTAAAGTCCAATTAGAGGGTTTGAGTTTCCCAATGTGTTCACGAATTTGCGAGTCCAAAATTTTTGAAAATTGATAGTGACCATAAGTTGACAAAATGTCTTGTTGAATTGCGGGAGGAAGGTCTGAAGCTGACCGCCATGTTGCAGTGCGGAGAGGTAACGGCAAAGCCTTACCCTTTTTCCCTTTCCTCCCTTTCCCTTTCCCAGCCTTTCTAGGATTCAAAATTGAATCTCTAGAAGTATTCCTCGTCAGAAGAGGTAGACGAGTTGGACGGGGTAGTTTTGCGGTGCTTTTTGCTTTTGCTTTTGCTTTTGCTTTTGATTTTTCAATTGTTTCGCAGTGGAAGCTATTAAAGTTCCACCACTTGTTTGAAACACGCTAGGCCGTTATAGTTTTGAGGGAAGATAAAAATATTTTACGTAAGTGCTAGAGAGTGCTAGAGTTATTATAATATTAGGACAGATGTCCAGTATAAAGAGGTGAGGTTCAGAGTAGGATATTGTCCAGTGTCCAATTCAGTGTAAGGTGCCTGTTTTAATAATGTCCTGTCAGTTCCTTTTTAGTTAGACTCAGTTTAGTGATGTTTTATTTAGTTTAGTTTAGTGATGTTTTATTTAGTTTAGTGATGTTATCCGAGTTGTGGTAGTTAGTGTAATCTTCGATAATACATTTTAACTGTTTCAGTAGAAAAATATTTGGCTTTCTTACTTTTAGTTTTATTAATTAAATTAATTTTTGATTAAATGAATACCGTTTTAGTGGAGATATTCGCTTGCCTCCAATTTTAGTATGTAAATAGCCCGTTTTGATAAAAAACTACGTTTGTACCTAATTTTAGTTCATAATTAATACCGTTTATATGGAAATATTCGTTTTTTCCAATTTTTTGTTTAAAATTATTCCCGTTTTAGTGGAAATATTCTATTCCCCCAACATTTATTTGGTTTTAGTAGAAAGATGCGTATTCCCCTAATTATAGTTTATAATTAATACCGTTTTAGTAGAAATATTCATTACCCCCTAATTTTAGTTTATAAATAATACCGTTTTAGTGGAAATATTCGTTTTCCTCCCATTTATAGATAAAATTAATACCGTTTTAGTGGAGATATTCGTTTGCCCCCAATTTTAGTTGTAGATAGCCCGTTTTAGTAAAAATATATGTTTGTCCCTAATTTCAGTTCACAATTAATACCGTTTATATCGAAATATTCGTTTTTTCCAATTTTTTCAGTCCGACCTTCGACTGATTTAGGGTGAACACGTAAGGGAGTATCTCCCTGATCTAAGGGTTTGGGTTATGGCTGCGATAGTATTTTATAATACATACAACTCTAGGTTTGCC